GCGACCACCAACCGCAAGCAAGCGCTTGCGAGCCGCTGCACGCTGTCACCGAACACACGTGGGTACTCGCAAGCCGCCGCGCGCGGTCAGTGACCGCGCGGGCGCGCTAGCAAGCCGTGCGTGCGTGCTAGAAAGCCGCAGCGCGCCGTCACGGACCGCGCGTGCGTGCTAGCAAGCCGCAGCGCGCCGTCACTGACCGCGCGTGCGCGCTGGCAAGCTGCCGCGCGCCGTCACCGACCGCGCGCGCGTGCTAGCGGTGGGTGCTAGCAAGCCGCTGCACGCCGTCAGTGACCGCACGCGGGTGCCAGCAAGCCGCTGCACGCGGTCACCGACCGCCCCCCGGCGCATGGGCCCTGCTGCACCGCCACCCACGTCCGTTCCCAATCGGGAAGGTGGCTCCCGCCGCTGGCCAGCGCTACGCCCAATCCGGAAGGTGGTTCCCACCGCTGGCCAGCGCTACGCCCAATCGGGAAGGTGCTTCCCAGCGCTAGGCTAACGCTACCGTCGTATGCGCTCGCTCATAACCCTAACCGGATTCGCGATTTAGGCGGATCCACCGAGCCTAAGGAAGAATAGTACTAGGCTCACCGTGGCGGTGTCACAACGCGCGCTCAGACCCGTGGCAATGTCGGCACGTGGTGCGCATGGCTCACCGTGGCGGTGTTACGACGTGCATCCGCCGAGCAGGCCGGGACCCACGGTCACCGTGGCAGTGTCACGACGCGCGTTCAGACCCCCTGCCGAGCTTGCCGGAGTCCCACGGTCACGGTGGCGGCGAGCGATACTCCCGGCGACATCTCCACCAAAATATTGGTGGAGATATGCCCACAGCGCCTTAAATCGCCAGAATATTCATGGAGGTACCCATCATACTTACGAAGAGGCGTTGTCAGACGGTGAGTAGCGATTCAGTTGGGAACCGTCGAGAAAAACGGACGGTGATTTATGAGCATCATTTCTTTCGATTTAAAAAACCGATTGTTTGATGAATACTGCAATATATGAAGCTTCTAAAATCTTGAAAAAATAACCAGTGGGAGGGGATTTGTGAACATGATTTTCTGACATACTAACCGTGGGAATTTGATCGCTGGATGATCCTCCAGGCCCTTCTCACCGTTTTAGGAGGATATGATGAATTACGGAACGACTGCCAATATAAAGTGAGTTGCGAGAACAGTTCTGGATTCAGTACTTCTGGGGCTATACACTGACACCCCAAACATCCAAAACTGAGACGCCCGGAGGTCAGCCTGACTTCCTGGCTGGGACAGGGCTAGGGTTCCCACGATAAGGTACGTGGGTCAGTTTGCTTACGTAAGCTGATGGTGGCTGTCCGTAGAAGTTTCGGCTTCCTCGGGCCGGTCGGCCCGGTCGGCATCTCCGCAGTGGGAATGTCTTGGCAGCGGCACGGCGGCATCTCGGCCGGCTCGCCTTTTCTTAGTACGCCGGGCTTCGGCTTGGAGGGGAACGGATCTGGTCGGGCTCGTCGGGGTTCTGCTGTCCCTGTTGGGATGTTTCTTCCTACGGTAGATGTTCTGCCGTGTCTCGGCTCCCGTGCGGCTTTCCGTGCGGGATTCTTTGTTCCCGATTAGGTGCGGAAACCCGTTCCGTCGTCTTGGCGTTGATATTTTTGTTGTCGCTGTGTCGGCCTCTCGGCCGGCACGGTGTCGCTCGGTCATCTCGGGCAGAACCCTGATGAGCCTATAAAGGCGAAACAGGGCTGGCTGGGGATCCCCTCAGCCACTGTCGGTTCTGTCTTCGCCCCCGCTCCTCTCTCTGTTGCGACCATCCCTGCGCCAAAAAACGCTCGGTCGCTTCGCTCCCTCGCGTTTTTTGGGCGCCCTAACCCTAACTAACCCTAACCCTAAGCTACCGTTCAAGGACACAGCTTATGCTGTCCCCCCTTATGAACCAAGAGATACCGTAAGGCCACGCGATACGAAAAATGGAGTCATCTGCTGTCTGAAATCCAACGTGAACAGTATCCAGTAGGAGAGGTGCCGCAGGTACGTATCACGCGAACGCGACCAGAAAAACTACGGGGGTACGCCAGACACCTCCTCATTCCTGTCGCTCAAGTCCATAGCTTTGTTCAATATAAACATCTCATCAGCGTGTGTGTCGCCAGACTTGAATCTACTCGAAGCCAAGCCGCAGAAACCTAGAACGAACGCATGCCGGTTCGCGGCACGCCCTTCCTCGCATAAAGTTCGGAGCAAAGATCCTCGCAGACGACCGCAACAGAGTTCGTGCCCCGCACCCCGTTGCCGGCGTCCCGGGTTCGTTCGACGGTCTGAAAAGAGACATAGCATGTACGGATGATCGCCCGTGTGGGCGGACCGGTTCGTCACCTCCTCCATCCCGCCGGTTCCCGGTCACCTGCCCCGAAGCACACCCCGTCTATAAGTACGGAGGTTATACAGGCGCACGTTCGCTCCTCCCCGGTGTCGACGTCATCCAGACTTCGACGAGAGTGCGACGGTACACCGGTGCGCCATGCCCTGGCCCGCGACCGGCCTGCAACCTTTGGCGGCGATCCGCGAGCCCGACGCGCGCGACGTGCTCGCGGGCCTGCGCACGCACCCGCCCGTCATCTTCGCGTTTCCCCCGTCTTCAACGTCGACGTCGGAGGGGGGACCGGGGCACACGTGCAGCGCGCCCGAGCTCGCGACGCAGATCGTCGAGGCGGGGTTTCACCCGCAGCTCGCGGCCGCGCTGCACATGCTCAACGCGAATCTGAGCGCGGCGCGGGAAACACTTAGAGGTTGGCAGGGCGGACGAGAAAGCGAGGAAGGAGACGAGATCGGGCAGTGGTTATGCGCGATCCTGGCGAGAACCGAGGGGCGGTACGAAGATGCGCAGAGGTTGTACGCGAGCGTGGCTCAGCCCTCGGAGGTGAGCAGCGCATCGGACCGAACCGTCGTCTTCTTCGCTGAGGGTTGCATGGGCAAACAGGAGTCTGGCGCTGAGCTCTTCGCGAAAGTCTGGGGCTCGGCCTCAGAGGGCACCTCCAAAGTCTCCGCTTACATCGCCCGCACGGCGCGTCTCAAACAGCGGCTCCAGGCCGAGGGCAAACTCGACAAGGTCGCGCGCGCGCGGCGGCGGAGCGCGATCGAGGCGAACCAGGACATGCTCAGCCGCCTCCGGTTTTCGCAGCAGCAGCACGAACAGTCGCCTGGGGCCCTGGCTGCGCAGGCGATGCAGGCGCTCGAGGCGGAGGAGGAGGAGCGGCACGGGGAGCGGTCTGATCTCGATTGGGAGATGACGGACCTGCAGCGGGTCGCGAGGGAGGAGCTAGCAGAGATCGCGGGGTGGTGCGGGCGACGGTTTGGCTGGGGGACGTGGGCGGAGGGCGAGGATTGATGCACTCGGGTGCAAGAAGTGAACTCGAACACATGAATTATCTGTATGATAACGTATCTCCAGAATACACGCGTCCTAGGCCTATTAATTTTTGGCAGATTCAAGCTGAAGAAATCAGTACTGGTATACTCAGTGCTTGATCCACGATCTAGAAACGCACCTTCTCAAACTATAGCGCGATCGCAACAATCCCCGGGTATTTCGCGCGCCGACCGTATGGTTGACTCAATACCGCCTTTGACTCGTGCGCGAACAAAGGCGGGAATAGCCTAGACGAACTGTCGCGCACGGACCTACGCACACCCACCCCGCTCGAAGTGGCATCTTCATCGCGTCTTCTGTGGCGGATTCGAGTCGCACACTCACTGCTTGGGACGATAATCCCGTCAAAGATGCGACGATTGGGAGGCACTACTGGGCGGATCCGCTACGAGCGCGGATGTGGAGAAGAGCGACGGAGCGAGAGGATGCCGGCGGGGCCGCACGATGCCGGAAATAAATCCCACACGAAGAACAAGAGAATCGGCGGACCAGTCGCGGTCCATGCATCGACGACCCTGGCGTCCCTTTGTTTTCTCGTCTTCGCTGGTTACCCTCATCTCTTCTCTCTGACCGACCGAACATGACCTACACGATCCTCTGAACTCTGATCTGCTCTCGCTGTCGTCGTCCTTGCTCTGTTATTTGCTCTTTGCTCTGTCTGTCTGCTCTCTGCTCTCGGAATCACTATTATATCAAACACGATCCGACGTTAAGCTAAAGGCTCGTTATGACTCAATGCAACAATCCGCACTGTACGACCCCTCGCGAACGACTCGAGGGCGTGATCCTCAAACAGTGCAGCACATGCCGACAAGTGTCCTAGTACGCTCTCGTTCCTACTCCGCACGCATCGACCCCACGCTAACCGTATCCCGCACAGCTGCGGTAAAGATTGCCAGGTCCGTCGTCGAGTCTGAGACGCCCCACATAGTTAACTCACCTCGTCCCGTACGCCGTAGCTCGAAGACTGGCCGAAGCACAAGATCGCGTGCAAGCAGTTCGTCGCCACACAGCACCAGCGCCCTCCCGACAGCGGCGGCGCGCATTTGCAATTAGCCTCCGCGCGCCCGGGGCCTGCGTACGCCCACCAGCCGCCGACGCGAACGGACCGGGACGATCGCGATCTGTCCCCAGCCGACGAGATCCGCGCGGTCATGGCAAGTCCGTCGCCATTCTCTCTCTCTCTCTCTTTTCCTCTGTCCCCTTACCCCCACTCCCCTTTTGTTCGGACTTGTGTCCATCCGTAGGAAGATAATCGATCTTCCACCTCATTCCTTTCCTTTAGTTGTTTTTCGTCCCTCGATTGGAGAAGGAGAGCTGACTGGACGATGCCCCACATACGCGCTTCACAGATCGAAACGTGCCCGTTTCAGAACGAGTGATCCTGCGCGTGCTTGACGACGACGACCAGGACTCCCGCGACGCGCGCGCGTTTACAGGCCTGGTCGACCTCGAAGAGGCTGTCCAGTTCGCGGTGAGCATTTTGGTATCCATCCCATCCCTTTCCCTCCTTTATCCCTCCCCTCTTTCCTGCTTCTCCCTCTTTCCTGCTTCAATCAGTCATCATCGATATACGCCATGGGACATATTATACTCATTCCGACTCGGCTATAGATCGACATGTTCATCAAGACTGGCGACAAAGGCGCGGTCGTGTTCAGGGTGGAGGACCCTTACATCGAACGGTGAGCGTTGATCCCCCTTCACTCTCCCCCGTCCGTCAAGCTCACATCGCCCACCACACCAGGCGGAGATCTCCCCGTCCGATGTGGTTCACCCGACACGAATTCCTTGCATGCGGCGACTCCCGGCTCGCGGCCCAAGTCACGCGGTAGTACGTCTCCTCCCCCGTGCCTGCCTTCATCTTCCGCTGCGCTGACGAGAGTAACGACTTTTTTACAGCGACCCCGCTTCGCTCGCCGTGCTCCTCTTCGCCCTCCCCACGCCCTCCCTGCGCTCGATGCAGATCTGGTCGCTCGAGCCCGCGTTCGACGACGTCGTGCCCCCGATGCTCAAGGCTATCAACGGCGTCAAGGGCGCGTGGAACGCGCTCCATCCCGACGCGCAAGCGGAAGTGGCCGCGAGCGCCGAGTACTACGATGTCGATGAGGAGGACGAGGACGAGGAGGGACCAGGGAAGCGGGGACGAAAGGGGAAGGGGAAGGCCAAGCAACGGGCTGGCCAGGGCAGGGATGGCGTCGAGCTTGTATGGTTTGAGGGCGTACACCGGCGCTCGTCCGAGTGAATACGCAGGTACATGATCCGCAAGGGTTTTCTCCATCGCGCGAGAGAGCTGTGCTCGCTGCCTGTGGCGTTTGTGTCAAGCCTGGGGTGATTTTCGCGGTTTGCTTGTAGATCTGTTTAATACAAATGTGTTGTGATCCACTATCCCCCCATTTTCGTTTATCCTATCGCTTTCCCTGGCTCCCCCCTCTCTCAGTCCACCTTCAAACCCCACTTCAGTAAATAATCGATCATGTGGTACGCGATCTTCGAGTGCCCGTTCGGTGTCGGATGGGTGTAACTATCGTACGTCGATAAGCAACCATCGTTTTATCATCGCACAGTGCGTGGAGGTTAACAAGTAGACGCACTCGGGGAAGGTGTCACCATATTGGATCCAGCCCGTGCCGTTCACGAGGAATACGTTCTTGTCTTTGACGCCCGCCACGACCGCGGCGTCTTCGGTCTGGAAGTAGGGAACGAGCCCGGACGGGGTAGGGTAGCCCCACGGCGACATCACGAAGATGGGCTGAGAGGGATAGATCGTCCGTAGGTTGTGCAGGAAGGAGATGTATTCCTGCGAGAGCGCGTTAGCTTCGCGTCGGTAACCCGAAGGTGGGAAGTGAAGATGAAGGTCAGGAAAGGGTGTTAGAAAATGAACGGAAACACACTTTCTCGAATGCGGTCCCATTGATCCCGTAATAGTTATCGTTCGTGCCAATATTGATAAAGACGTGCGTCGGTTGGGGCTTGTACGATGCGAAGTTCCATGAGGTCGTGATGTTGTTGTTCAGCCATTCGTAGGCCGAATTTTGCGTCTGGAAGTACTGTTGGACGTAGTGAGTGAAGGGGATTTCGGAGGGAGAGGGCGATGACGAGACACGTACGAGGTAGCTCATCCCGCGCGGATTTCCCCAACATAACTGGCTGTTCCGGAGACACGTCAATAACGGGTTCATCTAACCCTGACTCGATGCCACTCCTCACTCGGTCAAGCACGCGCCCGACTGCGCGATCTGATTGTGCTCCGCCTTGAAATAGTCGCCGACCTTGAAGCTCCAATCATCGACGACGCCGCGCTCGGAGAGCTAAAAGCCGCGAACAGGAATCACGATGAGGTCGAACGAATGGTTTCTCCTGCAAGAGCGAAACGTACGTATCCCGCGGTAAGCGAGTCCCCAATGAACTCGAACGCAAGCTTCTTCGGTGTGTACGTGGTCAACTTCGCAGCCTAAAGTTTCCAATTGATCAGCATCTTCGGCATATCTTGTGCATCATAAGAGAGATCAACGAGAACAGACGTACGTCGTCCAGCTCAATCGACTGCAATTCCAGCCGCGCCGTCCCACCCTCAAACTGCGTCACCACATCTAAGACCGCCGATTTCGTGTCCACGAGCCCGACCGAGGTGAGCGGGACGATATTTGCGCCCGCGGTGAGGTTGAGCGTGACCCATTCGCCAACGTCGCCGAACCGGGCGGAGACGGTGATCGGAGGAGTGGACACGGAGGCGCCGACGTTGAGCGTCAGGTTTTTAGGTGCCGTAGAGAATGCGAGTTTGAACCCTGATCCGGGCCTGGAAAGTGAAGAAGGGGAATGGTCAGAGATGGTGCTCGGCAACGCGTGGATGGTGATCGGATGTATGGGAGCACAGGAGGAACTCAGAGTGGAGAGAAGAGGGAAAAAGTGAGCTAGAGCAACGTACCACCATGTGGAGGGTATCGAGTCCCAGCGCCCGTGATAGTGGATGAGGTGCGACGATGCGGGGATCACTTGCGTTGTTGCTGCAAGCTGGGCGAAGGCGAGGATCGTGAAGGCGCTCAAGGAAAATCCGCTGATCATCCTCGAATGCCTTTGTCGAAACATCGATTGTCGGTTGATGATTGGGTGGGCGGTCCTGTCCATGGCCATATTTATGGAGATCCATAGATGTCGCCTCCGGTCGCAATACTGCTGGACAATTGGCGGTGCATGAGTTGCATATGACCTCCTCGGGGTATGTTCGGGACCTCGATGGCGGGTTCTACTACTGAGGCGACTGTGTGAGCAGGCTTCGATTCGGATCAATGAACGGACGTCAGGCAAACGAGTAGATGGGACAGTACCTATGCCCACGGGTCGGGTGTTTATGTAATGATTGTGCATGTGTAACATGGAAGTTCTCGCCGATGTTTCGGAACGTAGGCTACGCCAACGAACAAGGCGAGTAATGAACCATGTCTACCGCACGTAGCCTGAGTCGTTAGAGGGCGCAGTCAAAGTGCTATCGACTTCTCGGGCTCGAGTTGACCATGAGAATGATGGCCGAGATCAAGTTGTTTTTCCAACGAATGTGACTGAGACGACCAAAGCGATAACAATTGACTATTAGTCTACAACCTCTGCGATCCATTCTACAACATTCACCCATTACATTACGCGTGCCTACAGGTACCAAAGCCGAGATTCCAAGTCCCCAGTTCTTTACCGACCGCCCACAGCGATCTCGAGCGCCCTCTCCACATCCGCTATCAGATCTTCGACCTCCTCAACGCCGACACTGAGCCGGACCAAGTTCTCGCCAATGCCGAGCTTCTCCCTCTCCGCGGGCGGCACGCTCCCGTGCGTCATCTTCGCCGGCAGCTCCGCCAGCGACTCGACCCCGCCCAAGCTCTCCGCCAGCGTGAACAACCTCGTCGCCTGCAGGAACGCGTCCGCCTCCTCCGCGCCCCCTCGGATGCGGAACGAAATCATCCCGCCGTACGGGAACCCGCCCTCGCCATCGTCTTCCTTGGGCAACGAGTCCACGAACTTTTGCGCGTGCGGCGCGAGCGAGCGCCTGGCGATCTCGTGCCGCGGGTGGCTGGGGAGGCCGGGGTAAATCACCTCCTCGACGTGCGCGTTCTTTTCCAGCGCCCGCGCAAGGGCGAGCGCGTTCGTCCCGTGCGCCTTCATCCGCAGGTGCAGCGTCTTCAGCCCGCGTTGGGCGAGCCAGCAGTCGTGCGGGCTAGGCACGGCTCCGATGGCGTTCTGCAGGAATCGAAGCTTCTCCCCGAGCGATTTCTCGCCCGATGACGAGGGTGAGGTGATGTGCTGAGGAGGAACGATGACGGCGCCCATGACGACGTCCGAATGTCCATTGATGTACTTCGTGAGGGAGTGCAAGACAAGGTCGGCGCCTTGAAGGAGCGGCGAGGAGTAGAAGGGCGATAGGAAGGTGTTGTCGACGAGTACAGCTGGGCGAGAGGGATGCGCATGCGCGAGTCGGACTACGGCCGGTATGTCGATGACGCGCAGCGTTGGGTTTGTTGGCGACTCGATCCAGACCAACTTCAGGACAACGGTCAGCGAATGGATGATCGTCTGTAGCTAATCCGGAGCATGCGCACCTTCGTGTTGGGGCGGAACGCAGCCAATATGGAGTCTTCGTCCGCTTTCTCCAGATCCACAAACGTAGTCTCCACAGCCTGGTTTTCCGCCGCGACCCGAGTCATGTATCGGAACGTGCCTCCGTATACATCGTTCACGCTGACGACGTGCGCGCCGGCGCCCAGACTTTGCAGCACAGTAGCCGTCGCAGCCGAGCCGGATGCGAACGCAAGCGCGTCTGCACCGCCGACTTCGAGCGATGCCAGGAGCGCCTCGAGCGCGTTTCGGTTCGGGTTCCCGGAGCGCGAGTACTCGAATCCAGCGTGGACGCCGACGGCGCTCTGTTTGTATGTCGTGCTGAGCGAGAGCGGCGGGATCACCGCGCCCGTCGATGGGTCCGGCTCCGAGCCGACATGGATAGCGCGCGTGCCGAAGCCGTCGAGCGCAGGCTTGTGCTTGCCATTCGAGAGGCCGTTGGGATGGTCGGCGCCGTCGATAAGAGCTGGGGACATCGCGGTGAGTCAGAAAGGCGGGCGGCGGAACGAGATGGAGGAATGAAACGAAGGAGTTGATTGGTAGGTATACTTACGTGCCTTATATACAAGCGCACATGGACTTGGTTCAGATGGCGAACGATGGCGAGCTCGACGTAAGCGTCGGCGAAGCTGTCGGCGAATTAGTCACGATTAAACCAGGTTGTTACCCGATATGGCTATACCCGAATAGGTTTTCTCACCATCTCGTCGCTCAGCAACTGAGTGAATCCCGCATGGACCTTGTTTGGCGAACGACGAGACAATCGATCAGGGTAAGTATGCGATTGTCATAAGGCAGATTTTGAATAGATAGTTATGCGATGAATACACTAGTGCGATAATGCATAGGGATGCATGACACATGGCAAGGACGCTCCGGTGCTTCACCGACGCAGGAGCTCCCTATCTAACATCGGCGCTAAGGTACCACATAAGATTGTCCTCGAGGTCAAGCGCTTCACGAACGGCGGCAATCGTGACTGTCGAGGGGCGTTTCTGGTCGAAACCCGAGCAAACAGCCCAAATGCATACAATCGAACATGTTAGATCGTCGCTGCCCCAGACCGTACGCAAGTCGAGCGTCGAGCAGATATTTTCCTTGATGTGATCAAACGCCCCGTACCGCGAGCACTCGACGCTGACGCCCAGCTGGCGGTGTTCGGCCTAGCTGTTGGCTATTTGCTCACGATGGCCGAGATTTGGGTCGAAGCTGATTATTTGCGGGATTGTAGCTGATAAAAAAGAAAGGTTCATAAGAACACATGATATCCGAGAGAGGAGGGTCTGGCGTCCTAAATGTAAGACGAAAACGTTTTGTGATATCGACGTCGATCTCTCGATCCCCGAGCCCTCGCGATGAGGGTTATACGGCACGCTGTGCTCTACCGCGATCTTGGTGTCGAAAAAATGCGAGTCGATCATACCTGAGGTCGGGGGGTTTTTTTTTTTTTTGCCGCAAACATCCCATCAGAGGAGGTTTTCGCTGGGTGCCCGAGCGGGCGCCCAACTTCGCAGGCAGTTCCTTGAGAGGCCGGAAGGTTCCCCAGAATCCGGCGTGTCTGAACCCGCTTCAGAAAGGCCCAAGGTGGAGAAGGTATGCGATGCTGGACAAACCTCCTTCGTCCTGTGTATATGCCTCGGCGAAGAACTGCTCCCAAGCGTGTACCCGTAGCACTGGCTCTTCGTGGAGGCATTCGAGAGTGTGTTTGGGTGGGAAACGAGGCATTATTAACGGATGGATACCAGGGTAAGGCAGTGGTCAGAAGTCGGCTGCGGCTCGTGAAGTCGCGACGCTTCTGATATCGTATCGCCGTGCCCAATACCAGTAACCCGACATAAACAGTCTAGACATCGCAAAGCCTGCTCGTTGAGAGCCGATCGTTGCTGTTAAAGCGTCTATTCGTACCTCGCCTACGGGTACATACACGGTGACGTGAAAGAGCATGGAATAGGAATGGAGAGTTCGATATTGAGGACGGCGGAGGATGCGTCCAACAAGAGTAAGACACACCGTCCACATCGCGATTGGGAACTAAAAAGGATTAGATATCAAACGACGATTAAAACAACCACGACCGAAACCGAACGGGGAAAAAAAAAGGCAAGGACGTCCATTTGTGACTCTTGGCTTTAGCCGGCCGCCCCCAAGGTCTACGCCGCCGCGCCGCCCTTCTCGACGCTGCCCTCGTGGCTCCCGTCCTCGACCTTCTTCGCGAGGTGGTCGTGGGGGTGATGCATCGGCTCGCGCCCGCCGCCGGTGGCGCCATGGCCCTCGGGGACGAGGTTGTCCGAGAAGAGGTGGTCGCCCGCGCCGGGGCGCTGGGTGTGCCCGAGCTCGGCCTCGATGCCGACGTAGTCGTACGCGAACTCGCCCATCTCGGCGTCGTCCACGCCGAGGATCTCCGTCTCCTCGTCGCACCGGAGGCGCATGCCGGGGATGTAGTGCATCAGCCAGAGGATGATCGTCTGCGATCGATAGGGTCAGTTACGAGAAAAGGACGAGAGGGAAGGAGGAGGACGAGGAGGGCGACGTACGGTGAGGACGAAGGAGTAGCTGAGACCCGCCACGGAGTCGGCGATCTGGTAGCCAAGCTGGACGTAGTGGTGGTCGAGCCAGCCGCCGGGGATCTCGGTGATCCCGTCGTAGGCCGCGACGCGCGCCTGGGCGAAAAGGCCGGTGAGGACGTTCCCGACGATACCGCCGATCGCGTGGCTGGCGAAGATATCGAGGCAGTCGTCGTAGCGGAGCAAAAACTTGAGCTGCGTCGCCCAGTTGCACACCGTGCCGGCCATGAAGCCGAACAGGACCGCGGCGGGGGACCCGACGAATCCGGAGCCGGGGGTGATGGCGACGAGCCCGGAGATGGCGCCGGAGCAGAAGCCGACGGCGGACCACTTGCGCTCGAGGCGGTAGTCCCAGAACATCCAGGTCAGGCCGCCCACGGAGGCGGCGAGGTTGGTGACGATGCAGGCCTGGACGGCGCGCAGGTTGGCGGAGAGGGCGGAGCCGCCGTTGAATCCAAACCAACCGAACCAGAGGAAGACGGTGCCGAGGACGACGTAGGTGGTGTTGTGGGGCTTGTAGGCGAGGCGCTCGGTGCCGTATCCGCGGCGTTTGCCGAGGTAGATGGAGATGGCGAGGGCGGCGGTGCCGGAGGAGATGTGGACGGGCGTACCGCCGGCAAAGTCGAGGCCGCCGAGGACGAACGACCAACCGTTGGAGTTCCAGGTCCAGCACGCGATTGGGTCGTAGACGATCGTAGACCAAATGAAGACGAAGGCGATAGTCGGGCCGAGGCGCGAGCGCTCCGCAACGGCACCGAGGGCGAGCATCGGGCTGGAGAGGGAGATGGTCGGTCAAGCGAACGGCAGCGCGATAGAGAAAGGCGAATGACGTACGTGATAGCTGCGAACATGAGCTGGAAGACGCAGAAGGCGATGGATGGAATGCGCGTCGAGCCAATGGAGGGCGCGTCGAGGACGCCACGGAGGGCAAAGTACTTCAGGTCGCCGATGTAGGCGCTACCGGTCTCGGAGAAGGCGAGCGAGAAGCCCCAGAAGAACCACTGTAGGATGGAGGAGGTTAACAGGGATGGATGACGTGCACATGGGAAAAGGCATAGATGGGAGCGACGACGCGTAGAATGAGGACGTCGTCGCCGTCGCCGCCGAACACAGAATGAGGGCGTCGCCGCCGCCCCCTGTTGCCCGATCCAATAGGTCGGCAGCGCACCAATCTCCGCCCGCCACCCCGCAGCGGAACAGAATAACCAAAAGGAGAAGGGCAGGAACACCGTCCGGACCGGATGCAGAATCGCATTGCCCGATGGAGAAGACGGAAGGAGAGACGGCGTGGGAAGAAGTGCACCCCAAGGGAATGGAAGCCCGCTAAACATAGCGCGAGGTGCGAATGGCGGTGCTGCCGAAATAGCTTCGGGACGAGAAAAGGCAAGCCCACGGCCATGGGGCTGTACCACACGGACGACCGCGTGGGGCAGTGTGAAACACAACCGAAAAACGGAGCAGATGGAGTAAAGGAGAGAACATGAAACGGAGATGAAACGATGGTCACGATGACAGATATCTTCCAGCGTAAACGAAGGACAGGGACGGGGTACGAGAAGGTGTGGAAGGCAGAGGAGAGGCGAACGAACCTGGAAAGAGACGACGGCGAGGGTCATCATCGAGAGGTAGATCATGCTCAGAGCATTTTTGCGCCTGAGCAGGCCCGAGTAGAAGAACCCGACGCCGGGAATCATGATCCATACCTACGAGGGACAGCGGTCAGCTCGTTCGGTAAGACGAAGCCGTGCACGAGGACGGGAAACGTACGAGGGCGGTGGACGCGAGGACCCAGGCGATGTCGCCCAGGTTGTAGACCGTCGCGGTCTGGGTGCCGGAGTCCCAGTGGATGAGGTCGCCCGCTGTGAAGACATGGTCGTGGTCAGCGTCGGAACGAGCGCAAGAGCAAGTAGTTGGAATGGAGGAAGGTTGGTCGAAAGTGATGCCCGAAAAGACGGCGAGTGGAGGCTGTTGATGGGCACGGGGTACGAGGCGGCGGTATATTCGCCATCCACGCCAGCGATGGCGCTGATCGCGCGCGCCGTCCCGCGACGCATATAAACCCGCCCGTGTGCCGTCTCGATCCCTCTGTCAACACTCCGCCCGCCCGTCACGAAAACCAAACGCGCTGGGACGGTGACTCACAGGAATCGTATGTAGCGTTGACGGTCATGGTGTCGCGAGCTGCAGCGAAGGAGCTACGACGTAAAGACGGTCTGCGCTGGTGCTCTGCAGGCACAGGCGAGAGGAGGTGGAGGAAGGGAAGGAAGGAAGGGCGCGGTTCCGTGCGACTACCGACCGTTAGGGTAAGTAGCCAACGGGGCAGGAGAAGAACTGGTCTTCCGCCGCTGCTGCGCTGTGAAAAACAACCAACGCGCTCCGTCCGTTATCGTCGCGGGCCAAGCGTCTCCCACATTCTCGGCCACGTCCGACCAATCGCAGCCCGCGCAAGGGAGATAAGGGCGCGCAGCATGCGGAGGCTGTCAGATCCTAACACCCCGATTTGGACGCACTGTCAGCTTCTGCGTGCGAGCGCAATGATGGTGCCAGGCACCGCTTGCTTTTCTCCTGGCAAAACCGCACACGATGTCATAACGGTTTGGAACGGCAGGCAAACCGGAACGCCCACGGGCGGTAAGAGCTCTCACTTCTTTTCATTAGCGCAAGGTTACAACTCCCACTCAAACTTTCACTTCTCTGTGGCAAACGTTGCCAGGAATCGGGGTCTCTTCAGCTCTCGCGAAGGTCCGACAGACAGGCCTAGGGCAGCATCATATCAAACTTTGTCCCATATACCCCCCTCGCTCTAGCTAGAAGTCTCTAGACCAGGAACCTCCGCGCTCGGCCGACGTGCGCCACGGCCGAGCACTCAGATAGGCAAAAAAGCCAAGCAGGAGAGAACATGAAAAAACGCAAAGGGAGTGGTCAGAGCAGGAGGGGAGGCGCATCTTAGCCTGTTTATAGTAAGCATCCTATCATGTGCAGATGCCCCAGCACGTTGCCCACGGCAACGTCTGGCAACGTCTGGAGGATAGGGTAAACGGCTCCGCCAGAACAGTATATGTACGAAAACGCGAGGAAAAGAGACCGACGCGAGGGGAGTGGAGGCTGTGCTCGGCCGATGCCACCGACAGGGGCAGCGCAGCTACCCCTTCGGCGACGGAACCAAATATGGCGCGCACGCCGATCGTCCCGCGGTCCGGGCGATCGAGGACTGCATAGCTTGACACTACGGATGCATAATGTCGTGTCTCACAACACGGATGCAAAATAAGATGGCCCCTAAAAGCCCAACAAAAAGCTCGACATTCTGGGACGAGTATCTGTGGCACTGGTGAGGTCTTCGCTCGCCGTTAGCCTGAGTTCGGCTGGCTTGGACTAGCGCCATCCCCACGTACGCCACTAGACAGGGGGCCCTTCCTTGCGATGCACGATCTCGGACTCGGACTCGCCCAGAGAACGCTGTGAACTCTCGAGGGAACGAACGTTCGGGTCACGTTCGACACCGCGATGGTCGACACGCGGGTGTGGGCAAGTTCGCATGGAAAATCGTCCGTCGTCCGACTTTTCAGGGAGAGTTTGCTCTGACCTATAGCCGGACGCGATCCAAAGGTGAGGTCAATACGACATTGCCCGTCATGAACGAAACCTTGAGTTGTTCACCTCGCCTTTCACGTCCGTATGAAGGCCGAACTGACTTTGCGATCGAACCTCGGTGTACGCCATGCGAATCTGTCTTTTGGGCGGTGGGGCCTGCATCGTGTGCGTGTGTTGATATCTACCGCTTTGGTATAGGGACAATGTCACGTTCATACAACGTGAACGTGCTCCGTCTCCTGATAACTCACCAGAGGGAAGGGCCAAGTATGACCGCGATGAGTTCCTGGACCCGTTTCGACTTTGATGCATGGGATCCTCCATGAGACCGACATGACGCGTTTTCGTGTCGCGGGACGGACTGGACGGCTGATGCTGCACCCCAGATGGGCAGGATCCGCAGCCGTCGTTCGGCTCAGCACGCGCGTCGTGTGGAAAAGCCCTGTCCGCATTCCTCGGGCCTTAGGGGGGAAAGGCATGATGAAGGGCGCACCTATGATGCAGCTGTCAGCGTACATTTCGGGGTAATTCCTGTTTAGGGGTGAGGGGAAATGGTTCTCAGGCAGAGTGCTCGACGATTATGGTCTACTCGGTTTTTGCTCGTTGACGAAGACGTCAGCTCGATCGGAGAAAATATTATATTCGCGACGTAGCGTAGAGTCTACGCTGACAGGGGTGCAGAGGCCGCCTCGGCCTTCGCGGTCGCAGCCGGCGGTAAACCGAGCTGCGTCGGCCTCGCGTATCCGGCCTCGACCATCCACTGGTCTAGCCACGCCACGTCCTGTTTCCTCCGCCTCAGCTGTTCCCGCACGTCCCTCAGCGCGACCCTCAGCCACTGATTCTCCCCAGGATGCCGCGGCACCCGCACCGCTTCCGGCTTCGTACCCTCCACCAGCTTCCGCAAGCTCGGCAACAGGGCCGCGGCGATAGCGCCCGCGTGTGCTCCTCCCGCTTCGTAGCACGCGGAGACCATGAGCGCGCAGGAGTGGAGGTCGGAGGCGATCGCGGGCAGGGCGTAAACGCGGTAGAGGGCGGCCATCGTCACGACGTCCGTGGCGGGCACGGGCGTTTGGAGGGAGAGGGCGTGCAGCAAGCGGCGGCCGGCGGACAGGGAGGGGAGGGAGACGCCGTGGCGTGGGCGGTCGCCGAAGATGCGGATGGCGAGCGAGGGGCAACCGAGTTCGCAGCAGCGACCTATGCCAAAAGAATAAATAGAGGTGGTTAGCGTTTCGCGTGTAAGGTGCAAGGCGCAGGGGAGAGGAAGAGGAGAGGAGAGACACTCACGAACGAAGTTTTCGCTCTCTTGCGCGTGCAGCTCGCGTTTGCCCGTCCAGAACGGCGCAAAGAGCTCGGTAACCTTCTCGAGCTCCTGAGGAGTCTGCGCCATGTCGAACAAGTGGGTGAACGCCGTGTTGCGCACGGTGCTCGTCGCGTCTTGGACGGGAGGTTCGCGCCCGATACGCTGCGAAACGTGCTCGTACAGCCTATTGAAGCGCTCCCGCCTCTCGTCCTCTGTGAGCTTTCCAACGCGCCGCCGGGTAGGAGGTTGTGACGTGGACGACGTGGACGACGTGGCCGATGTGGTGGTCCTTGCGGACGCGCCCGATCCACTCGACGCAGAGGGAAACAGCTCGTCTTCGGCCGCAGCGCCGAATAAGTCGTCATCAAGCTCTTCAGTTGCTGCTGGCGACTTGCGCTTGCGAGCTATACGACGAGACCGTTGTCAATGATTGCCCCCCCCCCTAAAATTTGAGCAAGGTAGGCGCGACGCACCAACAGCCGTAACGTGAAGAGCTCGAAGTTGAGCGCCGGGCGCGAGGTTGATCCTAAGTCGAGCGCCGCATGGTCGAGTTATCGCGAGCGAGCGAGAAAGATACGAGGCCATCGTGGAGGTCGGCGTAGCTCGCGCGTCTTCCGCAACGCGTCGAACAGCAGGATTCGCTCGTATGCCCTTTTCCCACGCTCGCACCCAGTACGAGGACCACGTTCAAGACGTTGTCTACGCCGACCAACTCGCTCTGTTCTGATTCCTCATGCTTGAATACTAACCTGTGCTGTCAAATGAACACCCTCTAAACTTGGTAATTTGAAAAGACTGCGCGCAAAGCCGCGGTAAACATGCCGCTCAGATTTCTTGGTACACCGGATCGGGACCCAGGCAGTGACGAGGTACGCTCCATACCCCATGTTGTCGTTTCTTGCTCAGAATGACTGGCCAAACTGTTAGGAAGAAGAGTATTTCTTCTCGAGCGTCGAGCCCGTGTCGCGAAGTGCGGGTTCCTTCGACGACCTTGATCATGACACACGCCCTCAAGAGCCACTTGCTACTCTCACAGTGGACCTCCCCAAGCTGCCTTGTCCGGCGCCCGAGCCTGCTGTTCTCGAGTCTGCTTGGTACGCTTTTCTCACCCAACCCGAGCAAGACCGGGTACGTCGCGTGCCAGTCAGCACTGTTCCGAGTAGTATAGGTAGCTAACGAATCCTAACAGAAAGAAAAGGCCATGGACGTCCTCGCGAAGTTTGAGCCTTTTCGACATCTACCTCCTGAGCTCGATGCTCTGTCGAACGTTCAGAAGTCGAAGCCCCCGGAGCTGTTCCTCGGCATACCGCTCGAAAGGAAGATGATCTTGAAGTATGCAGCCAAGTACGATCTGTTCGTTTACGTCAACCGGACGAAAATGCGTCCTGTGGGCTGGAAACCTCGCGACGAGGTCACTCGGGACCTCGCAGTCAGCGTTGACTCGACGGCGCACTTCGTATTCAAAGACATCCAGGTGAACTTATGGTCCCGCCTTCGCTTCGATTTCGGCTATGGCAAACCCGGGCCCGGGAGACCGTTCCTGTCGCTCTGGGTGCTCTGCTCCAACTTCGATTCGGTCGACGAGCGTCCATCACCGGAGAATCTTGCGGAATTACGAGAGGAGCTCGGGTTGAACGATATCAAGTGGTATCTATCCATGTCTATGTGAACGGACGTCAAGATTCCTACAGTTGGACATTCCTCCGCTTCGTTGTTTCATTCACTGGACTGATATGTTTTCCTCGCAAGGGTTGTCGTTGCTATCGAAGATACCCAACGGGGCATTCATAACCCCTTGCTTTCTCGCTATCTAACTCGTAGATTTTTGACCTCGGTGTGATCAAGAACGTCAGATCTACGATTGCTATACCTAAAGTCGCTCGTGTGCCTATTCGTACAAGTGCGCGGTGCGTTCAGTCATGTCGTGGATGTACGCGCAGCGCTATGCCCGCGCCTTGTACTTATACCCTACTCAATTGTATGTGCAACGTATAGCCTGCGATTTGTCGTCCTTCGAGGCGAGCGAACGGCGAGCAGACAGAAGGCATCAAAGAGAACCTCTATGATTCTGCTCTTCAACATTCCTGCTGCACTGACAGTGCAAGCCCCAAGCGCGCCAGCCCCGCTTCTGAAGCTGGCGCTCTTAATTCTCCCTGGTATCGGTACCACATCTCACCGAACCGAGCTAGCTATAGTGGGAGGGTTCTCCATCATGACATCTCAATGTAGCTGGCCGACTAGTCTGTGCATTGACAGGAAGTCTTGAAGATTGTTTCGACCTTCGAGTCATGCTGCCGTTTCCCCCAAGAAATCAACGCACTCTCAGCAGTCTAAAATCCCCGACCACCGGAACATTTTCTCGGCATACCTCTCAACATGACTTGGAGATCTATATCGACCAGAATACAATTGATCTTGCCACGGCGGGAGGAAAGGCAACCCGGATATCATAGAGAGCATAGTTCCGACAGTGGAATGCGTATTGGAATACCTACGCGCGTGTTTACGGCCGAAACCTTCGTCTCCCCTTTGGCTACGGCATGTCTGGCCCCGTGAATCCATCCCTACCACTCTGGGTTCTCTGCTCCAACTACGATCCGATCCGACCAATGACCGTCATGAAATACGTTAGCTCAGATACGGGACGAGCTCGGACTCGATGACGATCAAACGCTATCTGGCCCTGTGCGCTTGAAGGTACCACGTTTTGAGTATCCGTCCATATTTTGCGTTCGAGTTCTTGATAAGGCTTGAGTTATAACCACCCCGTTTCTCGTCTGACCTTAGCTCGGCGTACTTGACTCGCGAGCCTTCGCGCTCGTGCGAAACGCCGAGCCATGTGCGGTCGCCGAAGATCCGGATTGCGAGGGAATCTATGCGAGAGAAGATACATTCGTTAGTGATCAGTGCATTAGGGATAAGGCGCACGTACGAATAGAGGCCGGAAGGGGTGCGCTAGCCAATACTCACTTTTGCCCTCTTGCGCGTAAAGCTCGTGCGTTCCCATCAAGGACGATGCGAAGAGCTTGACGACCTTCTCGAGCTGTTCCATGTCAAATAGGCTGGTGAGCACTGTTGCGCGCGGCGCTCGTTGCATCCTGGGTGGAAGGCTCACGCCTGACACGCTGCACGAGACGTAGAAGTAAGTAACATGGCTGATGCTGCGGTCGCCGGAGGTGTACCCAATAGGGGGCCTCAAAGTTGGCGATTATGGGACAGATTACGGAGTGGATTCGAAAGTCGATTATGGTCGCGGATTATGGTCGAATCGAGCGTAGCGGCTCTGGAGCCGCTACGCTCGATTCGACCCATAATCTGATTCTGCTACGACTCCCCGCTACATCGGAGTTTGGAATCCTTCCCACCGGGTCTGGGATGTCCACTCGCCTCTTCGTCTTGACCGTCCCCGCCGCATCGTCGTTCTTCCCTCCTCTCTCTGTTTTTTATCAACGTATAGTTCTGGCCCTGACCATCCACGTCATATTGACGTTCTTCGTCCTCTTTGGTTCTCATCGGCGTATAAGGAACTCCATGGATGGCAGGGAATCATTCAATGCGAGCCTGGCGGGACGGCGCGTTTTCCTGTGGGTACAACACCACCTACGTCGTTCAACAATACGATTTGGAATGCACATGGTGCTGGAGATGGCTGCAAGTAAATCAGCACGGTGCTCGGATGTTCCTCTCTCCCCCGGTAGTATCTCTAGGCTCATTTGTCACAGGCAAGATCGCATCACCGTCCTGCGTCGCTCCCGGACGTGCCTTCCGCATCAACATGCCTTTCGCCGAGCTTGACCTTGTGGTTTGCGGGCTGATGGCTTCAGGGAATTTGGGCGCAATATCGCAGCCGTCCAGCGGAATCCCAATATGAGCGGCTTAGTGACGGCACATAGAGGACATTGGGAGATGGTGTTCTTAGTACTGATATGTAACACTACATTTTGTCCATGTATTCCATGAGGTTGCGCCACTTAAGGCACCTGGTTATATAGTAACTCAGTACTGCTGTCATCGTTTCAGCCAGACAATATACAATATTTCCTTCACCCGACAGGAATGTCAACGTCAGTATACCCTGAGGTGTCTGAATATCCTCTGGACTTAGATGAGGTGCTCATTCTTCGACTTGGGCACCAACGCAGGCTCGGCCGTGCGGCCGAACTCGATATTCAAGCTCAGAAGGACATGCCGGCGAGTCGGCAGGAGGAGAATCATGTGCATAATCCAGACAGAATCCGGGGATGTAGCGGGGGGTTCAAAGTTGAGCGTCGGATTATGGCGGTGTAGCGACACGAGAATCGACACAGAATCGACGCATAATCGGACGCATAATCAGCCCATAATCGCCAACTTTGAGGCCTCCTAATTTGACCAAGCGCAAAAGGGAACCACTGCCTTCAGCGGCGGGGGTTGTTCGAGCCATTGAGCTGTTGCCGGCAACTCGCGCTTTCGCGCTATATGCCGATAGCCGTGGCGTAGACAGCGCAGCGCTGAGCACCTTTCGGGAGACTCGTCCTCAGTCAAGCGCCGCGTTCGCGAGTCATCGAGAGCGAGCAAGAAATTTACGAGGCCATCGTAGAGAGGTCACCGGCCGCATCGAACCTGCGAATTCGCGTGTACGACCTATTCCCACGCCAGTGCCTCGTTTTGCGCGAGCTGCAGTCCCATTCCTGACCAGAATTACAATCGCAAATCGCCATGTCGCTGGCAGTTTACGATGACGACGGTAATTCTCAAGAACCATTCGGTGGGCTATTAGTTCGGCTACCGAAACGCACCGGCCCAAGGCACGAGCCTGCTGTTCTGGATTCTCCTTGGTACCAGTACCTCACCCTACCAGAACAAGAGCGGAGGGGCGATGTACGCAACTTCTGACGTGAAATTATGCCTGACGCTGATTTCGTTATTCTTACAGAAGTCGGAAATCTTGTCGACATTTGAGCCGTTCAGCCAACTACCACCGCAGCTCGACCCTCATTCAGACACCCCGAAGTCGAATCCCCCGGAGTTGTTTCTTGGCATACCGCTCGACGAGGACTTCATCGCCGACTACGCTTCCAAGTACGATCTACTTGCTTATATCAACGGAGAGACGCTGGATCTTGTGGGCTGGAAGCCTCGCCACGAAGTCACCCCAGATCTTCTAATCAGCCTTGACGCCACATCCGATTATGTGTTCAAGGACATAAAGGCGTGCCTGTGGCAGCATGTTCGCTTAGATCTTGGCTATGGCAATCCTGATCCCCGGACCTCGTGTATGCCTTTATGGGTATTTTGCTCCAACTTCGACCCGCTCGACCAGCGTCCGACAGCGGAGCAAATCGCTGAGCTACGAAAGGAGCTCGGGTTGGACGATATTATGTGGTATTTATCTATGGACGCCTGATCAAAGACCAAATGTTATTGCAGTTGAGCGCTTCTCCGATTTCTCTTTTTGCACACGGAACTGATATTTTGAATCGCAGTTGCCATTGAAGAGGCTCAGCACGGCCTCCACATCTCCATGCTTTCTCGCTATCTGACACGCGTATATCTACATCGGCGTAATCGTTAGCAACGGAGACTTTGATTCTTGCCTCTTGCGCGTGCAGCTCGCACATTCACGTCCAGAACGATGCGAAGAGCTCGATGAGATTCTCAAGCTCCCCCGAGGACTGTGCCATGCCGAATAGGTTGATGAGCACTGTATTGCGCACGGCGCTCGTTGCACCCTGGATGGGAGGCTCGCGCCCGATACGCTGCACGACATGCTCGTACAGCCCAATGAAGCCAAATCTCACGTTCCGTTGGCTTGCCAGCGCGTCGGCCGCTTGACCCTTAGGATGTGGACGTAGACGACACGGGCGATGAAGTGGTGGCTGAAAGTGCGCCCGACCCGACCAACGCACAAGGGAGCCACTGCCTTCAGCGGCGGAATCGTTCGAGCCCTTGAGCTGCTGCCGACTTGCAGTTGCCGGCTATTTACCGATAGCCGTGGCGTGGACAGCGCGGCGCTGAGGGACATTTGCGAGAGTCATCATAAGCCAAGCGCCGCATGGGCGAGTTGTCGAGAGCGAGTAACGAATATACGAGGCCATCGTAAAGGTCGCCGGGGTGAACTCGCACCTGCCACATCGAACTGCGAATTCGGACTTTAAAAGGACACCAAGTGGTATCTGGCCGCGTGCGTTCGGTAAGAACAACATCTCACATGTTCGTTTTTGAGTTAATGTACTCCTTCGTGACGTCTACAGCCAGGCTATGGTCATGCAACCTCAGTCGTAGATCTCCTCCCAAGTTAGACAGAACCACTGCTTCCTCTCGTCGCACAGGGGTAGGGTCGCGCCCCGTTTCGCGTTCGGAGCAAGCAGTAATCCCAGAGGTATCGGCCCGCCTCGACTATCCACACATGCGAACACGGTGTTTCCTGCTAGCCGGGTGTGCGAAGAAACGTTAATGGTGGGCCATTATCAAGGCGGTCGTGGCGGGAACGGGTATGGAGCGAAAGATAGGGGAAATGTCGTGGCATGGGCAGTCGAGGAAGATACTGATGGCGAGCGAGCGGGCAGCCAGATTTTCGGCAGAAACCGATGCAAGGAAAGAAACAAAGAAACATTCATTAGTAATCAGTGCGTCAGGGATCAGGTGTATGGCCGAGGAGATGAGGACGAATGAGGTGCACAGGTGATTACTCACGAACGAAGTTCTCGCCCTCTCACGCCTGCAGCTGGTGCTTTCTCGAGCTCGATCGGGGTCTGCGCCATGTCGGAGAGGTTGGTAAAACTTTGTTGCGCACGGCGCTTGTCGCATCCGGGACGGTAGGATCGCGCCCGACATGCTACGCAACGTAGCCCATCGAGCTCGAGTCTCGCGTTCAGTCGGCTTTCCAGCGCACCGGTCGTTTGAAGTTTGAGATGTGGTCGTGGACGACGTGGCTGATGATGTGGTCGCAGGTGCGCCCAACCCGACAAACGCAAAGGGAAAATCTCGTCTTCAGCGGAGGCGCCACATAGATCGTAGCCGAACCCTTGAGCTACTGCCAGCGCATTGCGCTTGCGGGCTATATACTGACACCGCCATGAGTAACGGTCCCCCGAAGATTTGAGCAGATGCGCGCGTCGCGCGATGCACCGACAGCCGTAGCGTGGAGAGTGCGCTGAACGCAGCGAGATCGTGTGAATCGGTGTGATCGACTTCTCTCCAACCAACCTCACGCGAGGCGTACTTATGGCGCTCGTCCTCCACCAAGACAATAGACATTCCAATACCTCTACCTTGTCAAACTGCTGACATGACTACCCAAGATCTCACTCCTGCGACTCTCCCCGACAAGACTCAGAGCGACTCTGCTGCTGCTGCTGCCGTCGGCAGCCAGTCTCCAATCACCAATTCGCCTTGGTATCAGTTCCTCATGCTTCCGGAATGTGAGCAACAAGGCGTAGTAGGTGCCATCGTGTCATACCTTGAGCTCTACTAATAACCGACTTGGGCTCAGGATGATGTGGCAATCCTTTCGACATTCAAACCCCTTGACCACCTACCCCAGGAGCTCGATGCGAGCTCCGGCACTGAACGGCCCACTCCGCCAGAGTTATTCCTCGGCATACCTCTAGACACCCGCATGATACTCGACTACGCGAAAAAGTACGAGCTTTCCGCCTACGCAGATCGGCGGACTATGGGTCCGCTAGGCTGGGTGCCTCCGGAGGCAGTGACGTCGGACACTGTCGTCAACATCGACTCTACGACGTTACAGGTGTACGACGACATTCGGGAATACCTGTGGCCGAACCTCACATTTCAGACCGGCTATGGTCATCCGGACCCCAAGATGCCGTTTGTTCCTATCTTTTCCCTCTGCTCGAACCGGGATCCGCTCGACAAGCGACCGACTGCGGAGAAGATAGCAGAAATACGAACAGAGCTCGGTTTCAAGGAAGATCCTAAATGGTACCTGACCATGTTTGCATGACGTATGCCAGCGAAGTGCGGACTTGCGGGCGTTCGTCGACATTGCTCGTGGTATGGACTGCCGGCATGCAATGTTCAAGCGCGTGGCGTTGTGCCATGGACGTTTGTAGAGCGCGAAGCTCGTGCTATGTACTTGTGCCATATGTGCAATGTACCCCGCTATTCGTCGCTCATCTATTCGTCGGTGTCAGCGAGCGGCGAGCAGACAAAGGAGGGGCCGGACCTATCTTCCTCGACACCAACGCTCCCACCGACCCTGGTCATTTGCATCCCTCTCCCATACATGATTCTGACCGCAGCCTTCGATAACAACTTGGCTGCAGCATGCCGGATCGGCCAACTCGGGCTCTCTCGGCTCTCTCGAGTCACCTCGCGCACTAGACGGGAGGTCGATGGCCATCTTCCCCACTTCGATAGGAATACGCCCTTCACGTATACAACACATGACATCGTCAGAATTAGGGACGTGCACGCTTACGGTATGTAGATGATGCCTTCTTGCTACATAACGCATAGGCCCAGGCTCAATCGATCTTCAGGAGTTTTACTGCATTGTCCATTTATCGAGGATAATTGGATCTTCAACAATGAGGCGCGGACAACGCCATCCCCGCAGTACGATAAGCGCCCCCCGCGCTGTGTATCGTGCAACACGGGAGATTGCATAATTCCTTTACTGGAAACTCGCCCTCATCGTGGGGGTGCCCTCGTGCCGGTACACGCGAATAGAATTCCGGTTTCGTCGACGGGTTTCATGGACATCTATCGACTCTCCTCGTCCAAGCCCTCATGGGCGCCTATCGCACGGCAACGCTGATCCGCGTTGCCGTCGGAGCCACGCGATTGCCATGTTTTCCGCATGGATCGGAGGACAAGATGCTTAAAGTGAGGGTTTGGTCGAAGCCGTGAAAGACATAGCATCGAATATCGTTCTCCTCGGACGTTGCTTGAACTAGCTATATCGACATGCTGCGCCTCTTTCAAGGCGGATGGTCTCGAGAGTATGAACAGAAGGCCGAAAAGGCGGTGAGAGTAACGTTGATGACGTGAAGGTACGCGAACATCATACCAAGTGGTCGTAGGGCCTTTTTGTGGAGGAGGAGCTCGAGAAAGCAATCGAATGATGTAAGGAGAAGGTGTTGAATATCGCGGAAGAATGCCGGTGAGTGATACAGCGTAACCTCTTAACCTTCGTGTCTCATGACCTTTGCTCGTCTCAGATCGCAGAACCAGAGGTTCAGGTGAGCACCATGGGCTTTATGCTTCCATTCACGTCGCTCACACCATACAAGGGACATCGAGTTCGACCTTGAAGAAGATAGAGACCGATGTCTCAACGGTCTAGCGCCTTCTGATTCCGACGATCTGTCCCCCGGAGAAGTGATGCGCCCCTATCAGATATTCGAGAAACCCGAGTTCTTTATTGACGGCGCCTCTTCTGGAGATATAAGCCAAGGCGCGCTAGGAGACTGCTGGTTCCTGTCTGCCGTCGCCACGGTTGCGACAGTTCCGAAACTGATCGACAGGATATGCGTCGCGGTATGATCCCACTCTGCGTTGCTACGTCTGGAACGACGATCTGACGGATCCTTAGCGCGATGGGCAAGTCGGCGTGTACGGTTTCGTTTTCCACAACGAATCGGGCTGGACGGATGTAATCATTGACGAGTGCGCGCGAAATACATACGTGCACTGACTTTCCTGGATCTGATCGTCGATTCTCAGTCTTCTCTTCACGAACTACACGAGACTCGAGGATCTGGAGACGGCCGTGAATGCCCCAGTCGGTCATTCACTCTGACGATGGGCAACATTGAACCGTTTCTCTCTCCAGGAACTGGGTAAGCGGCCCGAAAAGCGTGGGCGCAGAACTCTGTACTTTGCCTCTTCTCTTACGGAAACCGAGACATGGGTGTAAGCTGCTCAACGCTCGTTTGAACTGCGTTCTAAGAGCTCTCCATAGCCCCCTCTTCGAAAAGGCATACGCGAAGCTGTTCGGAGATTACAAGGCCCTTGCAGGCGGATACTGCTCTTGTGCCATTGAGGACATGACGGGGTGAGTTCACATTCGTATGAGCTCTGCACGTCGTGATTGACGCAACGATGCTCAGGGGCGTTTCCACAACGATGCAAATGGCGGATATTCTCGATCCGGACAGGCTGTGGAACGACCAGCTGACGCGAGCTAACCGCGATATGTTGTTCTCGTGTTACATAATGCAAAATAAAGCAGGCTCGCGAGACTTCGTGAAAGGTAGGCAGCAGGTATCAGTTGAAGAATATTTCTGACTGAGAACCGTTTCACTGTTTTATCCAGGCATTCGAACGAGTGAGTTGCTCAGAAGTAATCATCCCGCGTTCTCTGTGACGAAATTTCCGCCTTTTTGTTTAGATCATGCGTACTCTGTTCTATCTGTAGTTGAACATAACGGTGACTGAAACAAGTTCACTTGGAGCTGAAGGGATGCTGACGCCAACCGCCATCGTTCAGGTAAGCGATTCGTTAAAGTCCGGAATCCCTGGGGCGAGCGCGAGTGGTCCGGCAAGTGGAGCGACGGATCGAAGGAATGGACCAAAAAGTGGTTGATGGCGCTAGATGATCTGAACCACAAGTTTGGCGATGACGGAGAATTCCTAATGGAATGTACGTGACTAGCTGCTGGCCACTTGCACCGTGTAGCTGATACCCTTGCTCTATCGTAGACCCCGAGTTCCTGACCACCTTCACGAGGCTCGACAAGACGAGGCTCTTTGATTCCTCGTGGGGCTTGAGCTCGCAATGGCTCGAAGTCTACGCACGTCCGTTCCCAGGCAGGCATCCTCTCGGTGCTCGCTTTGCGCCAAGTTGAATCTGACAGCTTCCACCAGCGGCATGGAAGTTCGGCGATGTATCCTGTACGGCCTTGCTCCGCTTGCTATCAATGGTGTCGGCTAATCTATAGACAGTCACTGTGAAGGTCGATGGCAAAACCCCTTCGATTTTTGTTCTCTCGCAACTGGAAACGAGGTATTATCAAGGTCTCGAGGGTCCTTATGATTGGACTTCTCCGACTCCGACTGCGTCCAGATTATCCCATCACTGAAACTCTCTAGGACTCATTCAGCTACTGGTTCCGATTCTGATTCAGACTCGGACATTGAGATTCTCCCTGACACCACGACTTACGACATCAAACCACGTTCTGCTGCAACTGCGCAACCGCCCGTAGCTAAGGTAAACTAATCTCGTGCAGCGTCGACTCTACCCTTACGCAAACGATTGCAGAATCCGCGTCTCCTTGCTATCAAGCAAAAGTGGAACGGACCATCGCTCAGCCAGGTGCAGCAATATTTCAAGGACTTGCCCGAGAGCCGAAGTGTCCCCATGACGAACTACGTCGAAGCGTTTTATAAGCTTTCGCAGGAGCAGAACTGGGGCAAGGATCGTTTCAAGGCTGAAAGATGGAAGTTCCAGGGGGCCTACCGTCAAGATTTCGGTAAGTTATTCGGCACAGACCCCAACTGTCTGGAATCGTGGCAGGAGCTCTGTCGCGCCATCGGTATCGACGAACAAGAAATACCGGACGATCTATTATCTTGCCAAGAAGTGAGCCAGACGCAGGCGGTCTGCTTTTTCCCGTTGCTGACCCGGTCCTCACGGTAGCTCATTCACAGTACGCACGTTAACATCCAGGACCTCGTCGATTACAAGCTAGTGGGGACGCCGGTCCAGCAATTTCCCACTGTCAGCGATCTTTCCAAGTATTGCTACCGCCATCATAGGTTCTTTCCTTTGGACGTCGCATTGAGGGACACTTTATTGCAGCATCTCCTCCGCAAGGTGAGGTAGGCCTGCGCCGTCATTTAGGGCTCGTGCTATCGATTGTTTTCCTCGTGATGTTGCTCCCCATGTTACAGCGATACCTGAACCTCTACGTCTCAAATTCTGTGCTTGTAGAATATCCGCCCACGTACATGCTCACTCTCATCGATAAGTCGGAACTTGGCTGTGTGACCGCGAGAGGCGTTGATTATGATACATCGCAGTGCTGGTGGATACATGATTAGTCTCCGTGTCACGCCGGGTGTCGATGGCAACTCCGGGCGCACGCCGCGCAGCACCTGCGTATTGGAGAGCAACAGGAGAAGGGCGCGCTAACGGACGTCGTTGAAAGCAAGGATATACGACGGACTTTTGCAGGATGATCTGCACGCACCCGACCTGTCTCTGATTCCGGCAGGACCTCTGTCGCGCAATTTGGATCATGGAGGAGATACCGCGCGTTCTGGTGACATGCCGCGCAGTCAGTGAACGGCCATCCTAGCTGGTGGAAACGGTCGCTGATCACGTCTTTCACTACAGTTGATTCGCAGTGTGCACGTCAACATATTTCATCTCGTGGACTAGAAAACATCAGGGACGCCCGTGAAATGAATCTCTAGCTTGCAAGCCCTGGCCGCTTATCGTCGAGAATACGACATGTTTTTCCCGAAGAAATAGGCAAAAGGACGATCACCATTACATTTCTTTCTCCGTAAGGTCTTAGACGCTGACGTGTGACGGTACGTGAGCTCATGTTCCTCCCGTAAAATATCACCCCGACGATAACACCGCATTACATATCATCTCGTTCACCTTCCTTACTTTCTACATTGCTGAACGTACGCGCAGCTAGGCTTCACGGTACACAAACCATGGTCGATATAAAATGACCAATCGAGGTAATCCTTCCAGGTTTCCATGAGCCGCGAAGAGACCAAGTCAGATACGTCTCTCAGCGAAGTGAAGTACTTATCGATCTCCTGCTCACAACTTGGACAGAACCACTGCTTGCTCTCGTCGCGAACACGAGGCAAAGGTTGCGGACTCACGGGCGAGAGAAGGAGCAAGTAGCCTGATTGACAAGTTCAGGGATATATCGAACCTTTCGAACCGCATGCTCCATGCTTTTGCATCTTGCTGTTCAGCGCAGGACTGACACACTCGCCAGCCTCGGTCTGGCACTGTGCACGTTCACCTTACGTACGTCAGGACCTACCCCTTTCCAAAATCGACCAACTTACTTCCATATAGTACTTATCTCCGTTCTCTGCGGCAGCGCCTACTGAGATTATGTCACCTGCTATGCAACCTTTTCCATTAAAAGCGTCGAAGAATGTATTGAGGGTGGAGCTTGACGGTGAACGCAATCTCTCCCCTCAACCCTTCCCCGCATTCATGCCCTCCAACGACGAGAACGATGCACATGCGGGACCGTCTGATGCAGCGAAGAGCCAAGCACACAAACCGTCTTCGGATGCGGAACCAGACGTTAGAATCTCTCGTAGGTTATCGCTTTGCATCCTCCTCCTCGGTCAATTGTGCTCTTGTTGTTTCGTACGGTACAAAGTTGTGATGGGTTATCTCACGGTCAGCCTTTCCCTTTCTTTTCTGGGTGAAAGGAAGCGGCCCCCAAGGGCCGCCCCCTCTGGGCGCAAACCGAAGGCGGGCCCGGAGGCTCGCCTGAAGTTTGCTCGGAAAAGACTTCACGAAAGATCAGGGTATGGGGCGGGTGGGATTTGATGCAGATACGCCTCCCGCTCTCGCGGTGAGGCTCCGGAAGGAAGAGGCGTGAGAAAAACTACATAGACGCGGCGCTACGATATCTGCTCCCTCTCCCCAAGACGGCGCACCGAGCTTCGCTCGGTGCTCGCC